GCGACATCCGATAAAACGTGTAGAACAGTGACTCGTCACCATTCTTCATTTCTTTCAACTGTAAAATACAGCAAACATGCATTCAATTACACAATTATGATGTGGTTGTCTCGCAGCACTTACCGCTGTGAAAAACTCGCTTTCACCCGCTCAATTTGCCCATGTCGGCCGGACCCGGTACTTTTTCAAGAAAGCTCGCAGTCTCTTAAGAATGATGAGCAGCTTCAGAGCACCTATCTTCTTTTGCCTTTTCGTTTCAAGACTTCAGAAACGAATGAAATTGACGGACGCAAGAAAACAACGCTGACAAAGACTACACAGGCAGTTTGCTTCGCCGATGTGCCAAGGATCCACTGCACGTGACCCTGCCCGGGTCACGTGTGCGCAACAAAAAATAACGCAATGTTTATTATGCATGTGCATACAAAAAAGTGCTGCAAGGCAATAATAAACACATTTCGTTTCATTACACAACAATATATCTTATTTTTAAATTGCATACCGCTCGCTACGCGGTTTTCTTGGTGCGAGTAGACGGCCTGATGCCAGCAACAGTGGAATTCGCTCGCCGAAGTCGTCGCGTGAATGAGGTTTGCCTGCGCTAGCGAATGATGGTGCGAAGCCCTAATGAGGTTTGCCTGCGCTGCGAAGCCCTAATGGTGACGGTTGTGCTGAGCATAGCGTCTCGACTCAAGCTGTTTGCGAGACGGGCTGGCCATTTTCCCGCATGGAGCATCGCTTCTCCGATGCGGGTTGAGTACTCCCTCGTCGCACCCACGCCGTCAAGCATCATTGTCACCACAGCGTCGCATATCGAGACGCCCCCCCCCCCCCCCCTCCCCATCGCCTGTCGCCACCTCCTGCCCTGCACCTCAGCGTTCGTCGTGCATTCTACCATCTTGCGAGATTTTGGAACTTTCCACCTTGAACTCTTGTTTATTGGTTTTCTCATTCGGTCAGACAGTGTTGTACTTGTTTTCATGACGGTTTTTTGGTTCTGTGTTTTATGTTTAATTTTCGTATTTCGTCATGAACGTCGTGTGTCGTTACCGTGTCGTCTGAATCTATGTCTCCTAACACGGCACGCAAAACAAGCGTGGCCAACCTTAGTCCCCTCTTTATTTAGGGAGTATCTGCGTCCATGTCGAGACACGGTCACCGAGCTGGTACTCCACGGAGCTTCGTTGAAGATTTTGACGGCGCCTGTCAGTCGCCTGCTGATTCTTGATGTACAGGTGGATGAGTTGACGAGCTTCTTTTGTGCGCTGAAGTTAGACGGTTGCGTCAATGTTTTCATCATCGGCGCATGGCTGCATAGCGTCGAGCATTGTTGTGGGGTTCCTTCCGTAGACCAACTTGTATAGTGACATCTGCGTCGTCTCTTACACTGCCGTGTTGTATGCGAAGATCACGTACGGAAGGATGGCGTCCAACGTTTTGTGTTCGAGATCGACGTACATGGCCAGCATACCAGCAATGGTCCTGTTTAGCTGTTCGGTCAGGCCATTGGTCTGTGGATTATAGGTCGTGATACGGCTATGATTTGTCGGACTGTACCTCAAGATCAACTCGCCTATTAGGTCCACCGTAAAGACTGTGCCTCTGTCTGCGACGAGGACCCCCTGAACGCCATGACGTAGAACGGTGTTGTCAATAAAGAATTTCACTACCTTGGACGCACTGCTTTTAGGCAGGGCCCTTGACTCGGCACAGCGTGTAAGGAAGCTGGTAGCGACGATGATCCATTTGTTTGTTGACGTTGAGGTCGAAAACGGCCCTCGTAGGTCTAAGCCGAATCGCTGGAGTGATTGGCGTGGTGGCTTGATGGGCTGTAGTCGAGATGGCCTGGTCAGTGGTGTCCTCCGTCACTGATAATCTCGGCAAGTCTTCACGTAACGAGAGATGGGTAGCAAGCCAAAGCTAGGCCAGTAATAATAGTCCTATATTCTGGCGAGTGTGCCGGAAACACACAGATGTCCGACCATCGGGTCGTCATGAAGGGCCTGGAGTACTTTTGGTCACAATGCGAAGGGCACGACGAGAAGGTACTCGGCTCGACGTGTCGAGAAGTGCTTTTTTTGGAGAACGCCGTATTTCAAGACAAACGACGTCACTGTTCGCTTGAATACTTTTGGGACAACTTCAGCACTGCTCTAGAGGTATTTCATAAGGCCTCCGAGTTCCGGATCGGCTCGTTGTCGTACAGCGAAGTCATTGTTGCTCACGGCTCCCAAGAAGCAGCCATTATCTTGGTCATCCGGAGGTGGGGCGTCCACGGGAGCACGTGACAGGTAGTCGGTGTCGGAGTGCTTTTTTCTGCACTTGTAAATGACAGAGATGCTGAATTTTTGCACTCTCAGGCTCCACCTTGCGAGACAACCCGCGGAGTCTTTGAAGTGTACCAGTCAAGAGAAGGCGTGGTGGTCACTTAAGAGCAAACCTCATAAGCGCGAAAATGCACGCGACAGCGACGAGCGATGCTATGAGCGACGAAACAGGGCGTTCGTGCGACGTGTCGCGTGCTCGTTTTCGCGCGATCGCTCGGTTCTCCAGATTTAGAAACCGCCGCTCATCGCCCGGAAGTGCAGGGCTCAAGCAGCCAATAGCGAAAAACCGGAAAAGACAAATACTACATAGGTGCACGGGACCCTGCCCGAGTCACGTATGCGCAACAAGAAATAACGCAATGTTTACGCATGTGCATATAAAAAGTGCTGCAAAACATTCATAAACACTTTCCGTTCTATTACACAACAATATATCTTATTTTTAAATTGCATACCACTCGCTACATGGTTTTCTTGGTGCGAGTAGACGGCCTCATGCCAGCAACAATGGAGTTCTCTCGCCGAAGCCGTCGCGTGAATGAGGTTTGCCTGCGCTAGCGACTGACCGCGCGAAGACGATCTACGTCGCGTCGCTCGTCGCTGTCGCGTGCATTTTCGCGCTTATGAGGTTTGGCCCTTATAGCTTTGATGGGCCTGCCGAAAAGGTAAGGGTGAAACTCTGATCTAGCCCAGATAATGACAAGGCACTTCTCTGTTTTAGAATAGTTTGCCTTTGCTTTTGATAGCGACTGGCTGGCATAACTCATGACTCTTTCCTGTTCGTCAGTCCTTTGCACAAAAACGGCATCCGGTCCTGCACTGCTTGTGTCGTATATTTTTCTGTTTAGGTGAATTCATCGAGGTTCGTAACTATTGGAGACGTCTGTAGGCGTCGTTTTAGTTCTTGAAATGCTTCCCGCTGCATCGTTTTCCGCTTGAATTCGACGTCGGACCTGGTAAGGTTAGTAAGTGGCTCGACTATCCGGGGAAGTTTCTGACGAACCACCAGTAATAGGTGCCGAGGCCGAGAAATCCATGGACGGCCTTCTTGTTGGTGGGTGGAGGAATGGAGGAAATGCAACGATGGCGGTTGTCTTCCGCGAGTCGGGGCGTACACCGGACTCGCTTATCACATGGCCTCAGAACATGAGTTCTGCATACGCGAAGCGACACTTCTCTGGCTTCAGGGTAAGTCCGGATGTCTTGAATGATTCAAGTACAGCTTCAAGGCGCCGGAGAGGCTCATAGAAGCTTGACGAGAACACGATGACATTGTCCATGTACACGAGGCAAATCTGCCACCTCAATCCAGCCAGTATAGTATCTATTACGCGTTAGAAAGTTGCGAGGACTGAGGAATGACCAAAAGGCATCACCTTGAATTTGAAGAGGTGGTATTATAAAGGTGGTCTTCTCTCGGTTTCTCTCGTCAACTTCGATTCGCCAATAGCCGGTCTTGCCTGGCGCGTTTTTTATTTACACTTATGTTTCATTCGATTTTCACCCATCAAACCTGGCTGGATTGTTCAGTGCAAACTGTGCCTCACCGTTCTAGAAGGTTCACGATTATTGTAGATCATTTTGTTAAGATAACGCCCACTTCATAAACAATGAAGATTATTCTAGAACCTACGTCACCAGTAGCAGTAACGCTAGAATATTTCATGGCAAGTGCATAAATGCCGACACGATTGATTTGTGTGGTTTAACGTCCCAAAACCACCATATGATTATGAGAGACGCCGTAGTGGAGGGCTCCGGAAATTTTGACCACCTGGGGTTCTTTAACGTGCACCCAAATCTGAGCACACGGGCCTACAACATTTCCGCCTCCATCGGAAATGCAGCCGCCGCAGCCGGGATTCGAACCCGCGCCCTGCGGGTCAGCAGCCGAGTACCTTAGCCACTAGACCACCGCGGCGGGGCTAAATGCCGACACGCTTCACCGCTTGTCAGTTTATCGACGGCCGATGCTCGGCTCACCACTACCAGTGCCAGTGTGTCGTTGTAATCTGACTTTCCTTTAACTTCGTGATGAACGCTCCACTGATGACAGAATAGTCGGCTTCGTTGTCGATGAGAGCTGTCACACTGTGGCCATCGATAAGAACGTTGAGGTCGCTAGTTCATCGTCACGAGTTGTAGTCAGGTCGTGGTGTCGGATCACGGCTGCGGCGGTTTGTACCACTGCTTCGGCGTTGCGTCATCAAGTTAAAGTCTGGCCGCGAATATTCAAAGTTGGAACTGCATTGACGCTGCGGCGGGTTCTTGGGGTTTCATCGGCAGTGGAAGATCTTTGGCTGTTTCTCGTACAGCAACCGCCCCTCGAACGGCTGCTGCCCTTAGTTTTCCAAGTACGGGCTAAGCGACTGGCCCCGGGTTGAGTCAGTGAACGGTTGGCATTGAGGTGACTTTTAGCGGCCTGCTGATGGTGAACGAGAAGATCCTTAGAGTGTGTACTGTGCTGCAGCGAGTTAGTGATGTCGCGTGATCTTTCACCCCACTGTGGACGCGGCACGTCTATGGCGAAACCCCGCAGTTCCATCTGGCGGTACTGGCAGTGGCGGTAAGTGTGGTCAGCTTCTCCGCAGTGGTAGCAGAGAGGTCGATGGTCGGGGGCACACCACACGTCGTTTTTTCTCCGAGCGTTGCGCTCGCCAGCGGTTAGACGGTATGACGGCAGTGGTGGCTGGCGGCGGAGCTGCCCTGGTGTGGCCTCTTGACGTGGATGTGAAGGCAGAGCGTATCTCCACTCTTGCGGCTGAGGCAACGGTGCTTCGAATGCTCCAAGCGATTGCCGAACTTCTTCGCGGACAATGTAGGTGTTCGGGTTCATTTGAGGCTGCGCGGATGGTAACAGCTTGCGCCACTCCTTCCGCGCGATCGCTTGGATGGTATCACGCAAGTCATCAGAGCAGAGTGGTTAAACTTCTGCGTACTCTGGCTTCGAGCGTCGATTTGATTGTCGGATGCGCATTTCCAGCGTCTTTTCATCGTGGTTGCTTGGGAGACGAATGCCTCGGCAGTGCACGGCGGGTTTTGCATTTGACCCCCGAACAGCTCCTGCTTTATTCCTCGCACAAGCGGCATGGTGGAAGAGTTTGGTCATTCCTTCCACGAAGGGCGTCACACTTTCGTTTAGAAGCTGCGAACAGGTTTCAAGCAGCGTTTCGGCCCTTTTCTTGCGAAGGACACTATTGAATGTAGCGAGTTACTTTGTGCGGAATGTCTCCCATGTTCTCAGGGTTTGCTCCTGGTTCTCGAACCATGTACGAGCGGCATCCTCTAAGGCCAAGTACACATGGCGAAGCGTATCTTCGCTCGTCCAGGTATTCAAAATGGCGACTCGTTCATATGCCTCCAGCCAACATTGCGGGTACTCAAAGGCTGAACCATGAAAAGTCTGAAGCTTCTTGGGTTGCCAAAGCAGGATCAGCGGGCGGCACAGGGTCTGTTATCGTTGCTGTGGCTATGGTCAAGGTCTTGGTCTGCTGGGTCTTCTCAGGTATGCCCGAACTCTGGCGGTAGGTTGCCTGCGGCTTGTTCACTGCTCGGGGTTGTCGTCGACGTCTTCACGACTGGCGCTGGCTTCACGGCTTGACGGAGGTGTGCGGTACTTGGAACACAGCACCTCCACCGCATGTCACGGGGTCGTGAAGTGAACAAGCGGTCAGACTGGGTGTTATGGTTAAGCTGTTTATTCGGCTGAACTTGTGGCCACAAAAAATGAAAATCAGATTACAGCAGCACACTGGCACTGATAGCGGCGAGCAGAGCGTCGGCCATCGATCAACTGACAAATGGTGAAGCTTGTCAGCATTCATACATTTGCCGTCAAATATGGCCCCTCCGCGGTGGTCTTGGGGCTAAGGTACTCAGATTTTGACCCACAGGTCCCGTGATAAAATCCCGGCTGCGGCTGCTGCATTTTAGATGGAGGCGAAAATGCTGTAGACCTGTGTGCCCAGATTTGTGTGCACGTTAAAGAATCCCAGGTGGTCGAAATTTCCGGAGCCCCCCACTACGCCGTCTTTTATTATCATGATGGATTTGGGTCATTATACCCCACATATCAATCAGTAGAATATTTAAGCACTATCGATAGAAGTGACGTAGGTTCCAGAATAATCTGCAAAGTTCACGAAGTGGGCGTAATCTTAACGAAATGATCTACAATAACCATGAACCTTGCAGAACAATGAGGTAAAGCTTGCGCTGACCATTCCAGACAGACAGCCTTTGTGGGCGAAAACCGAATGATACGAATAAAACATGATTGTAACCAAGAAACACACTTATCAATATTTAGGGCAGTTTGATTTCGCTGTAATTCGGTTCAATTATGGCGCTTGGAAGCGCTCGTCTCATTGCTGTTATCGTCATAGTTTTTCCCCAGAAGTTATGGCACCAACATTAGTAACTGTTCATTATCTAGTAATACAAGGGAACCTCGACCGCTTGTACCAACCGTGAATTCGGAACGATCGTGCACAAAACGACATTGCGTCTTTCTAAGTGCAAGTGTGCATCTCTTCACGTGCCCCACCGCCATCAATAAACAAACACAGTACCACAGTAGAACTTGTCGAAAGTACCCGCCAAAAGTACATTTTTTCGCCACACTGCGGAAAAGATACTGGGCTGGCAATTTCGCACGATCATTTTATAGCACGCAGTGGCGACACCACGAAGCATTTCAAAACTATTTCAGCGTTCGGAATATGCAGCCAATAACATGACGACAGAACGGACACTATCGGCTTTCCACGATACATATTTGCATTTCCTTACCGCGATGTGATGCGACAACAGAAGTTTCATTGAAAAATGGAGCGGTCGCGTGGGCACAGGTCATCTCCTCCTTAGTTGCGTGCATTGATGGATGGATGGATGGATGGATGGATGGATGGATGGATGGATGGATGGATGGATGGATGGATGGATGGATGGATGGATGGATGGATGGATGGATGGATGGATGGATGGATGGATGAATGGATGGATGGATGGATGGACGGACGGACGGACGGACGGACGGACGGGCGGACGGGTGGATGGACAGATGGACGGATGGATGGATGGACGGATGGATGGACGGATGAATGGATGGATGGATGGATTTAGCTATGCCCTCTGGATCGGGTGGTGGCTCACGCCACCTAGCGGCTCTGCAGCTAGTGGTGCGAGCGGCATTTATGCTTGCCCCACCGTCGTTGCTGGACGGCTCACTATATACTGTGCGAGCAGATTTGCTGTGGGAATTGTTCGACCCCGCATTACTCCTGACCGAGCACAGAAGAGCTGAGTAGGGTGTTTACACTAGCGTGATGATAACGTACCTTCGCTAAGCGAAGTGTGTCACGTTCATCTATGCTGCATTTCACACACCAAGTGCAACGCTGCGGACTCAAGCGAGACTTCTTGCAGTAGACACGTTCGCTAAAGAAATAATTATATGTTTTCCTCCCGGAATATAATTTCGTTTGCTTTTCACGCCCAGTGTGATATACATATGTTCTGTATTACAAACGCACACACACAGACACACTTGATTATTTGTAGGTGGTAAGTCTGGTAACCTCATTACGGCTGAAAGTTCCGTGAAAAAAAAATCGCAATTTTTTTACCAGAAGTAATTTGGACTCACTACGATGTTTGACTAAAAAACACCACTCCAAAGCTACATAGTGTTGCTCCAAACACGCCTTTTGGCGCTCTGAACCTGCTCCGGAATTCCTTTTTTACTGCGCCAAGGCTGCTCCAACACAGCATGATTCCTACTACCTGAGCAGCTCCAGAACAGTAAAGTCTACTTCCACCCTTGAATGCTCCGATATTTATTGTTTGGGTTGACAGATCTATGCTCTTCAAAAGCTATGTTATTTTTTTTCCTTTCACTAAATACCATTTCAGTGAATTTTATTTTTCACTACCTTTATTGGAAATATAACCAACTGGTCGACAATAGGATAAGTTTGTGCATCGAATGAAGCCTTTTGAATAATACGAATAGCTTTCTTTTGCAACAAGAATAGAATGTTGATGTTTAGCTAGTTGTATTGCTACATACAAGATGACAATGCTTGTTAAAGTTTTAAAAAATGTGATTAAAAAGTAAGACCTTCATTTTTTATCGCAGCAAGGAACGTAATCTTATTAGTATTTCTGTGATTCTAGCAAGCTCATTGGCAATAGTATTGCTAACTTGATTCTATAACAAGTTTCTCTGAAAATTGAGGTTGAAACTTTCAACCGAATGCATTAGTTCTATCATGGAAGTTAATATTTGAAGACACCATTCGACCACTGGCTTTTTTTTGTTTTTGCTTGGTATCATTATTAGTTATTAAAACTAGTAAGTTCCATTTGTTTTTTCATAGTATTACTGGCAGGACTGAGTGGTTGTGCAATATTTCTGGAGGTCATAAATTGACTGGTTTCCTCCGCACGGAAAGCGAATTGCACCGTTATCTTCATATTCTTTATTCACATATATAAAAGCTACTTAGTGGTCCTAGTGTGCTTCTTCGTGGAATCCCTATTTATATTTGTTATTTTTTAATAGTGGTGGCTTATAGAAATAAATTGACACCTATACTACAAGTAACTTCTAAATAAACAGAGAAATGTTTTCTTTGATCTGTACATGCCAAGGCTTTTTTAGTAAAGTGTTTGATAGGTCGTATTGAAAGCCTTTGATATTGAAAATATGCCTAGAGCAACTAAATTTGCTTCAAATTCTCGCAGACTTTCTTCTTTTTGAGTTTTTCTGTGCCTAAACTTAGGCATGGAGAATTAAGTAGTGTCTTTAACATCGGTGATCTTTTATCAAAAACATTTAGCGTAAAACTTTCCAAAAAGGACCGGTAGTTCAAAACACCCCTCCCATTTCTTTTCAGCTAAAACCTGTTGTCAATCAATACTGAATTGATCCTGTAATGAGCAGTAATGCTACTTACTGCTCAGCTTTACTACCTCAACAAATTGAGCATTATAATGCTGAAGTTGAGTAGAGACGTCCATGGCTTGACATAATAAAATGGAGCTCACTCAGACTCGCCGAAGATGATACATTCGGGCTCTGGGACCTTCTCAGACGCTCACTCACGAAAATGTTCGTCAACTTGACACAATGCGACTCAGACTCAATTTTTTTTTATCTGAACTAGGATCGCCCGGACTCATTTAGGCTAAGACGCTTTGCTCGACCTGTGCCTGAGTAAGTCTTGGAGATTGACGGCTATGTGAGTTTGCCAACCTATGACTCTCAAATACTTCATCTTTAACCTCGAGGCTTGTGCTTTATGGAGAAGACTACTTAGGGGTTAAGATAGTGTGGGTAAATTATACAATAACGTCAGACGTTAGATAGTTTGGGTAATTTATACAAAAATAACTTGTCTTCCTAAACCACTTTAGACCCAAGTGTCTACTTATTAGCCGTTTCATTTCACATATACGTTCTATTCACCTTTGTATTTGATAACCCAATTTCTCTAGTGCTCGCAATATCAGCAAATCATTTATTTGGTCGAAATATGATGAATACAATATTTTTGTAGTCATTTCTATCTTACTGACCGAGCACTAAATATCATTTCTATTCCTTACTCATTTGACGGTTCTGTACAATGATACATGCTAGCTTCAATTATACAGTACTTTCTCCAAGGGTGCTTTCTGAGTCTCATCCCACGTTTGAGATGTTTAAGCACTCTGCTAGGTGTACCTCATTTATCACTTGGCTCCTCGGCAGAATAGTAATAAGCCAGATTATCACTCAACAGGAACAACGCCCCCTATAAAAACAATCGAACTCATCTTCCACAAAATAATAAGCACGCTAACACACGTTGAACCATGACGTTGACCTATTTGTTATGGTTCCTTACTGCCCACCCGAAGGTCGTGGAATCAATTGCAGCCCGCGGTAGCCCCTTTTTGGTGGCCGTGAAAATCCTTGAGGGCCATCTACATAATTTTGTACGTTAAAGAACTCAAGGTGGTTAAAAATGTACGTTCAAGCACTCAAGGTGTCAAAACTTTTGGAGCCCACCACTACGACACTCCTCATCTATTAAAATCGTACCATGGTTGTGGAACGTTAAACCCCACACTCATATTATTGCAAAGCACGTCTTCTATATTGCAACACGTTCCTAAACCATTCCACATCTTTCTGACACTGCAAAGGGTATTCGATTTCATTTATCCCTTACGAAGCTTGGTGTAAGGCTCATGTTTCATTGTCAAGGTACCATGCTCTACCTTGTAGTGGCAACACTGATAGTATAGAACAGAGCTTGCTTAGCTGCATGCAGCAGTGATGCATTGGCTGCTACAAGCATGGTGCTTTATGAATGACTGGCTGGCTTATTGCCATCCCGGCTAATGGAGTACCTGTGCTGTTCGGAGAAGCTGAAGGATGCAGTTTAATGAAGCCGGTGGTTCTTGTTTTATATTTGGTTTTAGTTTTCGAGCAGCATGCGGTTCCTTCCAGACCTGTATAAAAGTACCGTGATTCGACCATCTACCACACAATTTACTCTGGATTCTTCTGCTCTCGAGGTAAGTCACTTACAAAGTGTTCAGCGTTCTCCCAATCGTTCACGCACTACAGGCGGTTACAAAATCTTTTTTTCGTTTTCAAGGTTCTTTTTGGCCTTGGATCATTTTCATTATTGTTGTTTGATATCGTGTTTGGGTAGGTGAAATTTTTTTACAGAACTAAGCTTGCTGTCGAAGGCCTTCACAGGCCGTGCTACTAAAAAGTAAACTGTGGCCGTTTATGCATTCAAAAGACAATGTAGTTCAGAGTCAAGCCCTACTTCTAAACTCCACCTGGTTGCCACTGGCATGGTTTCTTTACCGAGAGCATAATCATAAGTGGAAGGGTGCCTTTACATTTCTCACAAGTAATCATGAAAGAGTCGACGCATCATAAACCACTGAATTCAGAGTACATATTTAGTAATGAGGCCAATTACCACATGCCGGCTTCACGACAGACCAGCAAGTCATGGGATGTGACTTCAAAACATGAAATAGTGCAAATGTAAGAGGCATTGCTTCTCAAATATGCAATCGCGAATCAGCCCTCTTGCTTCAAAAGGTGTGACCCGCACACCAATGAGTAGTAAACTGCTGCGAACAAGCTCGCGCATATTGAGCAATGAATACGTGTAACATTCTTACACATTTTTCTGGCAGGCTCTACAGAAGAAGAAATGAGACGGCACCTGCTCTTCGCTGCACTAGCCGCCTTCGCGTTCTTGAACTCAGGTCAGTTACAATTTCTGAACTAGTAAGTGTTACTCACACTACGCATAAACGATTTAGACAAATTAGAAGAAATATGACGAAACTAAGCAATTTCATGCACATACACATGTTGAGAGGTGCAGTTTCAAGGGCAAGAATGATAAAAAGCATTCGGACATTGTTGAGCTCATCTGCTAGAGAGAATACTTGTTTAAAAATTCTGCCATTATAAATAGGCAGGCATAAACAGCAAAATCTTCTTATACCTGTAACTGAGAAGACGCCTAAAGCTGAATCAACACGTCTGATACATATCAGACAAGAAAAACTTGTACAAAATTAGAAGACAAATGCGTTATTATACTGCTGTTCTTGCTTATGTAGAATTTCAATTGTGCTTGCAAGCATGCACTTTATTTAATCCTAAAGCGTTTCTATCGTTCTCCCTTCAAACTAGTTGAACAAGGAGAGTTCATTTACACTGACTGCCCCTTCTCTCTGTCGCCTTTCCCTCCTTTTTCATGTGGCTGCACCAGTGAAGGGGTCCTCAGCAATAGACAGTTCTTGTGCACACCGAACATCGCTACCCATTTTCCTACAAAAATCACCTATATAATCAAACTGATAACTGAATCTGTCGCAAAGTTACCAGTCACTAATGGCTCCTTTGGCTAACACGCGACTGGTCTGGCAGCTTTGCTCACTTCTCGGTTCGTCAACAGTGAAAACTGCATTTGCACACCTGGGGTTCTATATTAGGTGCACCGGATCATATACGTCCGCCCTTTTACTGCAAAATCTGCTATGAGACCACAACACGCATCACGCACGTGCCGTATATAGCGGTCCCCTGATGTCGCCCGTGACCGGAACCACTCTCACACGAAATAAGAAAAAAAGTGAGTAAATATAAAACACCAAGGACGCAATGGGCGTTGAGCCTGTGTCCCCTGCATACCAGCCCAGCATCCTACCATAGAGCCACACTGGCTCTTTTTTTTGCTTTAATGCATGAAAAAAATGCAATAAAATGTCATATAATCAAACTCTCTTGCAAATCGGCTTTATAGGCAGGCTTGATGTGGGGAAAGAAATCATGTTAATAGGAGTAATCAAGTGTTATAAAACAGCAAAGGAACAAACACATGTCAGATAATGCAGATTGCGCAGTGAGTGGTCGTAGAATGCCCCAACTCTTTGCAAAGTCTTGATCTTGTTCACCTACTGACTTTGCCGCGTACCCACAGTGGAGGCTTGTGGGGATTACAAAAGCACACGAAATCGTCTTGCAATCGTCCAGCAGGTACCACGCTTTTCCGAAGAATGATGCAAGATGGCACAGTGAATTCCGCCTATCTACATAATAATTAATGACATGGTGGGTACCCTGCAAATGTGCATCTAGCAGCTACCGAAAGAGTGCTAAAAATAAGGCTCCGAAATGGTCACTCTTTTATCACTGTTACAGGCTTGTGTGTTGCGCGCAGGCCTGGCGTTTTTTTTTTTTTTTTAGAAGGCCCAGGTGCTGTGGGCAGATGTGAATTCAGTGGGACAATCTGTAGATCACAAGCCTGGGAGCATCGGTCACCTTGAATAGCTTTTTTTTTACGGTTATCACTCACTGGCTCACGGCGCATGTTAGTCGCTGGCATACATGAGCCTTTAAGCTTTGGCGAATTTAGTAATAAAAGGGCCCTATATTATGTGAAATAATATCCAGCAAATACTTGTAAATTATAAGTTGAACGGGGAATAATAGCATACGTCATGAAACCAATTAAGGTATGCCTTATACAGAAAGTTCAGGTGAAGATGGAAGCTTGAAGAGGGAAATCTGCTTGGACAAGAGATGTAGGCGCAGTGAAGACTTCGGCAAACGGTCTCCTAACGCAGTTGCAGCCTTTAAGAATGCAAGACCGCTTGTGGAAACGTAGGTTACAGCGACCAGCCGCATTCAAGAATTGTTCGTCGCTTCAGAGTGATCAATATACAGTGATGGGACAATTGAGAAAGCGCACTGTCTCCGTGAATTAGCGCGGACCAAAGAATGGAGGCGGAAATGTAGGCCCGTGTGCTCAGATTTGGGTGCACGTTAAAGAACCCCAGGTGGTCGAAATTTCCGGAGCCCTCCACTACAGCGTCTCTCATAATCATATGGTGGTTTTGGGACGTTAAACCCCACATATCAATCAATCAGCGTGAACCAAAGAGCACATACCTAAAAACACCTGAAATCTGTTGACAATCGTGTAGGTTCACCAGTCAAAATGGCTCACCATGCCCCATATGTCATGCTTGCTTTGACGCACTCTATGAATACGCGGCCGAATACGCGGTGACTATTGCGTGCAAATATAAGCCTGCATTGGCACTTTAATTAGGATGGCTTAGTTTTCTAGGAAGGAAAGAAAATAGGAGGAAAAGAATGGCAGGGAGGTTAACCAGCCTATAGGCAGCCGGTTTGCTACTATGCGCATGGGAGGGGGAGGGGGGAGATGAAAGACAGAGAGCAGAGATGGAAGAGAGATAAACACAGCACATTCGGCAGCACACGCGTGCACACTCAGTTTTCTAGCTTTTAAGGCAAGCAAGCTGGGCGAAAAATTTTTTAGGGATATTGTAGATTGCTTTGTAAAACAATTTATTACACAGCGTCTAACTTTATATCTCTTAAGCATAAGTGCTTTTCTGCTGTTTAGGGATGCCCAAGAAATATGAAAGAATTTTACGTGAAATGCCCGCTAGCACGTGGTAATCGCAGTGCTCCCTGGGGCTCAGCGTGCGAATGACCGTAGCGTTAGGCCATCCGTGCGGCCGTTCAAAGGGACGCCAATGTGAGACAACCATTTTGTTTATTTTCATAAAATGTGGCCTGAGAACTTTGACGGATTGAATCACAGCGAAGAACATTTCCGATCCGAAAGCTCCTTGCAACGTGTCACGAATTTCAAAGGAATTTTTTTTGCAATTTTGGAACAATGGCTCCATGAAATTTTCTAAATCTTCCTTTGTAAACCTTTGACCCTTCTCGAGGACAACTTTATTTCTTACTGAATAAAAAAAGCAAGAACCCAAATAGGTGCCATCAAAATCTCTGATGTCGTGGCGATTTGTCAGAAAATTTTTATCTGCAGTGGCGTTGCTACATATTAGCATTGGCAAATTTGTCGCCTGACAAGCGTAGTGATATTAGCATTGAGAAGTAGTAAATTATTATTGCCAAAAAACTTGCTTTTCTTCTCAATGCCCTTCAAATGTGACAGGACAGCGAAAATGTTGGTTCTTTTCAAAATAAGAACATGTTGCTTGCGTGCACAGAAAGTGATGACCGCTGTGTCTGCTTATCGCATTCATGAGACGCCATGAGAAAGTATGTTGTTGGTACGCGTATGCAGTACATTATAAGTTAGCTAATTAATCCATGCAAATTCATCATAGAATGACACAAATAACCTTCCTTTCTGCATGCTATATCACCTGGATTGGCGGGCTACCTTTCACTAGTAGTCCACAAGTCGAACTTTCTCACATTTCACCATATATTGTGCTGCCTTGATGCACTTTACGGCTACGCGGTCACCTCCACGTCAGTAGCTATTGCGTGCACTGGCTCCTACATCCACTGGCTTCCGCGCACCAACACACATTTAGCCCCTCACCTCAAATCACGACAGAATAACTTAAACTTTGGCAATAGTGAGCTGGTTTCTCTGCTTAATCAAGCCAGGTTCTCTTTATGGTCAGTATAGCGTGGAACTGCTAGCAGGCTGTTGAAAAAAAATACAGCCTTGATTTCGAGTGGCTTTTGTGTGTTTTGCTATCAAAGAGCTCATGAGAAGTACTTTTACTAACTCGCCAATTCGTCATCACATCGAGCAGTCAAATACATGCGCTTGTTATCTTTCGTGCAGTAAACCAGCAGACGTTACGTTACAACCAGTTAAAGCAATCTTACAGATGCTACGACTAATTATTAGAATAAATCCTGTATTTTACTGCTCAGCATGCTATATCGTTTCCGATTGCCTAAACGTATACGCCAATGACGAAGTTTTTTTCTCTTTCTTCTTGGACCTTTTAGGCTATGCCGCGCCACATGAAAGTTCCTCATCTGAGGACTCAAACGCAATTGCTGGACAAGATGACTACCAACACGATGATGGAGGCTTCCCAAAAGAACCATCTCCAACTGAAACAGAAAAAAGCGACAGCGATTCTGAAACAACCACATCGTCCACGAAAGATAGCAGTAGCAGCCACCAAGATGAAGAGCGTGAAGAAAACCGAGGTTCCAGCGAGACTACAACTGGAGCAGACAGTGGTAGCCAAGATGAAGAGCTAGAACAGAAAGATGATTCCAAAGAGACGACTACACAATGTGATTCAACTTCTACTGAAGGAGACAATGGCAGTGAAGATGAAGAGGGTGACAAAACCCAAGAGCCCAGTGAGACTACAAAACCTGGTTCAACTGCAAATGAAGCAGACAGTGGAAGCAAAGATGAAGAGCTAGAAGAAAATGACGACACCGAAGAGACGACTACAGAATGCGGCTCAACTTCAACTGAAGGGGACAATGACAGTCAAGATGAACAGCGTGAAGAGAAGGAAGGCTCCGACTCCGACAAAGAATTATCGCCGTTGCAAAATCTAAGCAAGATAATCACTGATCCATTCAAAAATCTGGTCGGGAAATAAATTCTAGGAGATATAGGCATCTTGGGTGGTGTCATTTTATAATGTAAACAGCAATTTGTCGCAGCTTTCGCGTATTTTGGGAGCAACAAAGTATTATTTCTTTACTTCATGAAATTTTATGTGTTTCAAAACGTGCGTAATGCTGTAGGAAGCAAAACAAAAAGCATAGGCATGATATAGCATGATCTCTTTCCGGTACCAACTTTTAGACAATTAATAGGAGTCACTTTTTGTCAGCTCTTCTGCAGTATTTTTTGACCATTTTACGTGCAGCAATCAGTGTGGAAGAGCTTGTAAAGCTACCAGATCACCACAAAACATCGTTGAAGCCATAGAACTTATGACTGAAATAAAAAAAAGAGATAACAGAATTTGCCTTACTAATAAAGTTGTTTGCAATCAAACTTCAGTTCAGCGGGGAAAAAAGGAAGAACTCCGAAACATGCGCGATCGCTGCCTCAATGATCTTTTCTGTGTAATTGCAGGAGCATACTACTTATTTTTATTTTGTTTTTCTTCTTGGCAGCAGTGATTGCATGCCATTATGGACATTGATTTGAATATCATCACTTGGGATATACAACAGTTTCTTATTTCATCGCAGCGCATCATATTGCACTAATGCGTAAAAGTTTGTGATATATAGAGACACGCATTGCAATTGTCTTGCTGCAGCGTCTTTAGTACTTTATTTGAATTGAATACCGCCAACGGAACTCTACATTGAAATTGAATACAACTGATTCAAATTCTATATTTAACAGAAATTAGACAGTTCATGGTTGGACAGCCACTTGACATTCGGTGACACAATGACAAAAACAAGTTCTAAAGAAAGCTTTGAAATCCACGTAAGCAGGTTTAATGAAAGCCGCATCTTGCGTGAAAAGTGTGAGAGAAGCTTACTTGTATCACTCTTTGCAATAGCAGAGGCAAGGCAACCACATAAAGCGTGGACATGCAAAAAACAAATTCAATCATCAGAGTAAAACTAACAAGTGTAGCATGCATACTGAATTATCCTCGGGTACGGACACGGAAATTAAAAAAAGCCAGATATTGATACTAATAAATTATGCACGAACTTTTATTTTCACAATTTTCTTTTTTATTTTCACAATTGCGATTAAACTGCTGATACTATGCACATACTTCCTAGCAAACAACTATCCACGCTTAGCCACACGTTTGTAGTTCAGACCATTATAGTGACTACTGTAGTAAACTAGAATATGGCCTAGCTTTTAAGTTCGAGCTACCTATCTTGTGTTTCTGTATGATGTCCGAGGTCATGGCGTGTCTGTTTGGGAGTTTAAAATAAGTGTTGCGTTGCAGATCTAGCATCTTCGTGAGCATGCGTAACATTTGTTCGTGTTTTTAAAAAGCTGTCTGCACGCAAACAATGACCCTACCTCCCCGAAGAAACTCGTGAGGGAATGCGAATGCAGTTCTTGCGCCAAGAGAGGGCACCGTTGCTGTCAGACAATTGCCTTCACAGACATCTGGCCTCGCCCTGAGAGGGCCCAGCCAGCGAACAGTCGATAGTGAGGAGCGAGCGGACGGGAGAGTGGGGCGCCAGCATTCTCGGCTCTGCGCTGGCGTTCCACAGCGGCATCTCGAGCACACATTGGCGGAGGTTCTTGAGAGCCGCACAGCCAGCGAATGGTTGAGAGTGAGGTGCAAGTGGACGAGAAAGTGGGACGCAAGGAGAAAGAGAGCGAATTACGAGAGAAGGAGTGGCGAAACACGGCACCTACACTCTCTCTCACCACATGCTCCGGTTGCTAGCAGCAAGGATAAGCGCGCGCACCCGCAGCGGTTGTAATGGAAGAGGGAGTGAGAGCGGAGAGATAACACCTGCCGGCACATGGCTGCCGCTGCCGATGCCTGACATAGCCCGACTAAGAAATGCATTCGCATGTTAAATAATCTTGCTAAATTTCGTCCTAAATAATGTTCCTAAATTCACGAGCGACCAGATTAACTAACATATTGTATATGATGCATAGTCTAAGGAACCATCGCATTAAGAGACGTGGCGACAGCTTCTATCCTTACTATCACAGCATCAACACTCGTTAAAGCTAGATAAAACTCAGTAGCGTTCACTGAATGATGGTGAATCTTTACTTTTGTATGGTAATTTTGACTATTTGCAGTTGTGATGTCATTCTTGCTTCCTTGCATTCAGAATGACAAGATTCGGTTGTGTACAATTCGTTGCCTGCCAGGCGCTGTTAATTATCTCTTTTTAAGCTAGGTTATAACGTACTAGCCGGTGCCACAGCCACAGGCTGTCTTTAGGGTTCCAGGTATTCTTTCAGGTAAAAAGGAGGTGCTACGAGCGTTTGTGCTAGCCTCATTATTGTCGATGTTTTGTACATTTCACCTCGGTGTTGAACGCACATTATGTGGTTGAACGTGATTTTAGGACGAAAATATTAGTCACGTCGTCAAATGCGGAAATTGAACATCTATCTTGGCGGTGTCCCATGAGTGATAAAACAAATCCTCATGTGAGGTTGCCATGCATCGCCAAAATTAGAGAAATCATCACGAGGTCGCTATAGCGTCAACCTAACGTTATATAACGTAACGTCTCCTGATGATGTTACCACTGCACGCGGTCGATGGTCGGTCAATCAAGGTGGCAGTACGAAGCCACGTGAGTTTCAGAACGCCTGTCATTCCAGCATTCCCAGAAGCAGCGTGCAACAATGTTAAGGGAAAAAGTTTTCGGAAGGAGGCGGCGGAGGATCACTGCATAGACTGAGAAGGAAAAGAAGATGTGTTTCATTTTTAATGAATCCTATGTAAAGACACGAAGGACGCTGCTAGTTTTTCTGAATTCTACAATTATCCAACGGCCTGATTCTTTCATCAAGCCAGCTTGACATGGATGAGCAGTATACTGTCAAGTAACTCCGCCATCACGCCAACCGAAGGTGGCTGTTTTCATGCAAAAATCTTCAGTGGTATTGTTTGCTGTGGTTGTCCAGAAAAAACACGTTTTTTGAGAGCCGCATGAGTGTACTAAAGAAGGGCTTTGTCTTTCAGCAGTGTTCATCTTGAGCTGTTTAAATGTCTGGGTGTTTTAGCGCATATTTGTTGGGTATGCTTGAAAACAAACTATTGTTTCACCAATCTAAGTATTTCAATTGTCAATAATACATCTCTGTTGTAAGTTATCGCAAGTTCCGCATCTCTTAGTCGAACCTCCTGTTTCTGTTCCGTGGTTCAAGCACTGCATAAGCTACGTCACTGGCCAGCCCAAACAGTCAGTCAGCCGGAGTGCAGTTTCGGGAACTCTATAGTTTGTAAAGCAAGCTGATACTATGAAAGAGACTGGTGCCATGTGTTTCAGTGAGCATGATAAATATACAAAATTTTCGTATCTTCACGTTTCGTGAACTACCCAACGTAACAATAATTAGATCTAGGTCTAATCAGTAGCAGAGACAAAGCGAGTGACCTTCAGCACAAGGATGACATTCAGTGGATAGTGAGTGATCAACCAGGGGACCTTAAATATCATGTTATTAATGGTGTTTTGGGGGCTTTCATGCACTAATACTGTCAGAAGCTGGCATTGGTAACTTAGTGGTTACTAGCAGCTCTTTCCTGAAATTGGGGAAACAGTTATGCCACTGTAAGGCTTCATGATCAGGAATACCTCGACACAAATCCTTCGCGCGATGAAGACAACTCAGGATGCCTCAACATGGCATCGGGCATTTTTCTTTACTTCCTCAGAAATGTGTGACTACCTTCCTGAAATGCTCTGATATGGGCGAAACGTCCAGTGTTCTGAAAGAAAAAGATTAATCTAGTCTCGCACCACTTATAAAAAGCGGGATCGATAGCCCTTGTAAACAGTTCTACAGCTGGCACTGTGTGCTGCGGAAGGAAAAACATAAATGTGATTCCAGGAAAGTGGAAAGTTAACCCTCTAGAATAAGATCCGGCATAACTTTACGAAATGCTGTAGCGTAAGAAAGTACGTGCAGCCCTGCAAGTGGGACAGTTTTTGTGTTGTCTATCGATTCAACTAAAAGTGTTGAGAGCTTTGTAGGTACAAACTACGTCCATTACGGCAGGCCACTATGTCCTGTAGCCTTGCAGAAGCTAGACTTTTCTGCAAGAAAATGGGGTGAATGGCGGACCTGCAGAAGGCCTTGGCTATTTGAGTAAAAACGCACATTTAATTACTTTATTTGGTTTCACTAAACGCACCTTCCATCAAAATATCCCCCTTTCCTCCGGCTACGAACCTGTAGGCATTTCTCTTAGAAGTTCCCGGCGTCAAGTCAAGCGAATGCCAAGTAATGACGCCCTTCACTGAACTCCGGACTCGCGATCCAGTGCCCACACATACGGGGTGGCGAGTGAACGGTTCTGCAGCGCTAGTGGTCGGTTATTTTTACTCTGAGACGCTGCCTGCATCAGCTTTTCGTGGTAATAAAGGGGGAGGGGAGTGACAGTTGGGACGAGACGTGAGCATGTGGCATAAGATGCGAGACACGAGAATGCGCAGTGGAGGTGTGCATGGTGCCGCTGACGCCGGATGCGTGACCACAATCGACTACAAAATGCTTCACTTTTAAAACGTGCTCTAGCTGCTTCTTTGAGGAATGCACCAGGCTGGACAGTGTTACATAAAGCTGTCGTGTGGACTCCTCGCTTGGCAACTGACGTCAACGTGCACTACGTTTTCACGCTCAAAACATGAAAGTTTTTTGGGGCGAAGCTACTCTTAGTCTAACCTTGTCATGCGTCACACGTAACTGAGAGAAGAAAAGACGAGAAAGAAAAGCAGCTAGTATCTCCCGAACGGTATAACAGATGGCGCGGTCTCGTAGAAGTACCTACAAACGGCAGTTGAGTGAGGATGTTCTAGATGGTTCTGTACTGCTACTTTGCGATTGGCTGCCGCGCGGGCTGTGCCTAGGTACGCGGAAAAAGAGTGCCCCTCTGAGTCTACTGGATAGTCGCCGTACGTT